GTGAGGGCAGGTCCCCGCTGCTCATGGCTTGCCGGAGAGCTCGCTGACCCGCTGGCGGAGGTGGAAGGCGAACTCGAACATGGTGGCAGCCAGGCTCTGGTGAATCAGGTAACGGGGCAGGCGACCCTGCGGGGAAAACGGACAAACACGGAGCCGTGAGTCAGGGCAGCGCGGAGGCACAGATGGGTTCGGGGCTCAGGGCTGGTCCCCATTCTGACCCGGCGCTGCCAGCCCGCGGTGAGGGATGCACCAGCACCGCCGTGGGGAGCTGCCGCTTTCAAGGAAAGCCGCTCTGGGGGAGGAACTGAAACGCGTTTTGATTTCTCTAAAAAAGCCCTGCACGACTCAACCTCAACCGCCTCGGCCTGTGCTCTATTATGTGAGATGTAGGGAGAAAAAGAAAAAAAAAAAAAATCAAAAAAAAAAATCCTTGCCTCTGCGGGGGAAGGAAGCTGAGGCAGGGCTGGGAGCAGCTCCGGGGGCTTGTGGAGCGTCCTGGGGCACAAGGGGGTCCCGAGTGCAGGCAGCTCAGGCAGGGATGGCCAGGCAACTGTCCTGGGGGGTCAGGTAGGCACAGGAGGACCCCCCAACCCCTTGGCTTGGGGTGTTTCAGCAGGGCAGGAGGTAGAGACCTTTCCCTGGAGCAGGTTTTCTCTATGACACGGGGGCCAGGGGCCATTTCAGACACCTCCCTGAAACGAGCTCCGGGGCGAAGCTCTATCACGAAGCTCTGTCACAGACACAAACACACACGTGTGTAATTCTCACCCTTCCTCGCAGGAAGGGATGAGCCATGTGCTATAAATACTTCTTCAGGGCCAAAGGAAATAGCAAGGCGGCACAGAAGAGGGGTCCGGGCACCAGCAGAGCCCTTCAGGAAGATGGTGGAAGCAGTTGACAGGCGGGTTATTAATAGCTCGGCCGCTACGGCATTTCTTCCAGCAGCGGAGGCAGGCAGTGGGCGAGTGCTCTCCGGCCCAGGAAGCACAAGGAACATCTTTCCTTTCCGAGCCCCATCTTGCACAACCAAGTGGGTTCATTATCCCTCCCAACTCGCTCGTTACAGAGGGGCGGAAGAGGCACGGGAGCCAGCTCCGCGAAGGAAAACACATCTCCAGTGCAAAGAGGCAGGAGGCCACGTTCTGCCCTGCCCCTGGCTTTGGCTGCCCAGGCAAGCGCTTCTGGCAAATCCTTTGCAAAACGTTTCGCAAGGCGGGCAGGAGCTGATCTACTTTGTGGGGAGGGAGGGACGTGGGAGGGGAGGGGGCTGCGCAGCTTTGCAGCAGAACGCTGATGAATGAAGCCTTTGTGCTCGCTGCTGCAGCGCCGTTACCACGTCAACCTTCAGCGGAGGATGAAAACGGGCCAGCTCCGCTCCCCCTATCCGCCCGACCCCGGTTCCCTTGCGCGGTGCCTTTTGTCTGGGCCACCAGGAAGGACTCGACACGCAGCTCCGCAAATAGCTCCAGATCTGGGCCGAAAGCGCCTTTCTCCGGGTGCGGACACAGCCCCGCGTGCCCCAGGGGTGCCCGTGTTTGTACCAGGGGGTCTGGGAGCAGGGCACGCAGGGCCGAGGGAATCGCCCCTTCAGCAGGTTCCTGGGAGCCCCAAGCAGGCAGACAACACCATTTTCAGTCCCCAAAGAGGGTAAAAATCTCCTCTCCCCCAGTCCTGCACGCAGAGAAACGTGAAACCCCCAAGCACGATCTCTGCCAGGTAAGAAAGAGCTTCCCCACCTCACCCTGGGGCATCTTCAGGGAGAAAGAGGGTGATTGTCAGGTAGCGTTTAAGCTCCACCAGCAAAACTCAAGTCCCTTTAGGGCAGCCTTTGATCAGGAGCCACTTTCAGAAGCGGCCAGCAGGACTGCAGCCCCGCACCGCTCGGCCGGGAGCACAGAGCAGGCCCTCAGCACGCAGCCTGCGCTTCGCGGGGGATGTCGGAGCCGCCTGGAGAGCTCTGCTGGGGACAGGATACGGCCACAGAGCTCACACATCAGCAAAGAACTGGTTTTACCTTCAGGTCCGTGTTGAGAATCCAGATGAAGGTGCAGACCCTGGGGTTGCTGGGACATTTCAGTACGATGAATCCTCCGGGTCCGTTCTCGCCCCTGCGGGGAATCAAGAGCAAAACCGTTCTCTGGGGTGCACCGCACCGATCCTGCGCTAGCTCCTGCAGCAGCAGCCACCCCCTCTGCCTGGCAGCGAGGACTAGAGCCCAGCGGGGTAAGAGCAGATGCGCAGAGTGCCCGGGAAGGTATCTGCTTTGGCTGCAGGCACACGAGCAAGCACGGCAAGGAAGGTTTCCCACAGGTGCTTTGGCAGTGGCGGGGCCAGGGCTGCTGCGGGGCTGCGGGCTGAGACGCAGCCTCTGCCTCTGGACCGTGCCAGCCCAGCCAGACACTGGCTCTTCACCGCGGGGAGGTTTCTGAGGCACAACCCCGTGGAAACGGGTGCAAACAAGAGGTCCCTGGAAAGCCGAGTGGCCAGGGAAACCCAGCAAATCGTCGCGGAGAGCCTCGTCACTACAGCCCCCGGATCCTTCTTCGCACCATCTGATCCGTCTCAGAGACAAGAGCCGTGCTCACACACAGAGCCCAAATACAGATTTCCCTTCCCTGTTCAGGAACACACTATTTTTGCTGCATACGTTTGTAAAAAGATTTTTCTAGGCCCTGAAGTCCCCAGCTCTTAAATAGACTGAGGCAGCTATAACGGCTCTGAGTTAAAATGTCAATTACTTTAACCAGATTATTAGGAAAAACAAAGTCAGTGCGCGAAGTGGCACAGCTGGGCCCCAGGCACCGGAGCAGACAGTAACAAGGAGTCCTTGTTTGATGAGTCCATCGCCAGCCGAGATCCATCGCCAGCCGGGCGAAGCTGTCCTTTCGGAAGGGGAGAAGCCAAAGACCTGCCGACACTTTGGGAGCCAGTCCATCCTGACGCAGCTTGTTTCACCCACGGGACCATCTCTCAATGTCCGCAGCCTTTAAAGTCAGTAAGTGACTGGCTTACGAGAAGCAAAAGGCATCCGAGAGGCTCAAAGCGAGCCACAGTCAGCTGTTTACTGCCCCTCAGAAATGGCAGCTGGCCCTGTTTGGGAATTAACTGTTACATAAACAGGATGCGGACTGGGTTGGGGTTTGTGCTGTTACTGGTCGGCACCTCCACTCCCCTGAGCAGAGAGCTGGGAAACGCCCGAGCAACACTGAACAGCACGGAGAGTTTCTTTAACAAAGGAAGAAGAACAAGGGAAGCAAGGTTTAGTTCCACAAATAGATTAGCTTCCTGCAAACGCTGCCAGAGAGACAGCAGGGTTTTCATTTAAGTGGCTCTTTGCCCTAAGCTTAAGCAAAGCGCCTGTGTCAGATACCAGCTGAAAAAAAAAATAAAAATAATAGAACCTGCCTCTTACCTGACATACTTGGAGAGCGGAGGCTTCAGGCTGTGCGTGGTCGACATCCCTGAGGAAATGTACCTGTCTCTTCTTCTCTCGATCCGGCGCACGTTCACAAAATCCCTAAGCAAAGAAAGGGCGCTGACTGCTTTAAAACGTGCAACAGGACTTTGAAGGAGCAGATCCTGCTCTCCGGACTGCTGGGAAAAGCTGTGGCAGAGGTGTGTCAACACGCGGACAAAGCACAGCACAGCGCTGTTATCAGGGAGACCGACGGACTAGATTTTGAGCTCTGAGATTCCTGCCAGAAAGGTCTGGAGGAGACTTCAGGGGCTCCCTGCCTTTGGGAGCATCACCCGCGCAGCCAGTCAGCCTTGCCTCGTCGACACTGGGAGCTCCGGCCGGCGAAGAGCGGCAGAGCTGGGGCAGACCACTCTCCCTACAGTCAGATGTTTCTCTCTGTATTTTAGGAGGGTGTTTAGGGGCTCTGTACAAACCAGACAGTGGAATAAACTGACCTCGGGGAAACAACACCGCCTGCGGCCCCAGCTGCCACGTCGTATGAGACGATCGTGTTGTCTTCAACCCGCTGCAAGATCTGGGGTGGGGGGGGGAAAGAAAAGAAGGGAGGTTTCCTCAGACTGTGCCTTGCAGGTTCCACATGTGCCAACAGCTGGGTGATACGGAGCCTCCCCTAAAACAGCAGCAGGATTCACAGCAACCAGAGCGTCTTTAGCAGCTGATCTGAGGCTGAAGGGGACAAACTCGTTGGCAGTGCGTGCACAGGTTTGTCTCCTGCCCCGGGACCAGTCCGTCTGCCTTTCGGAGGCGGGGGGCGCAGGCGTTGCCTCTGGATCCCCACCACACCAACAGCGCAAAACGCCTAAAACCTACCAAGCAAAAAGCAGGCTTGGCTCAGCCGCTGGCCCATCTCCCTGCCCACCTCATGGGCTTTTGGATAGGCACACGCATGCAGCTGGCTACCGCAGAGCATTCAGATCGTACGGATGAGCAGTGGAGATTTAACGCCTCAGCGACTCGGATCCAGCTAAGCTCCAGTACGGCCTGGGCACCGCCGACAGCCGGTGTTGGACTGAGAAGCTCCGACTCTCCGCTCCAAGGAGCTCCTGTGATTAAGCCATCTTTGTCCGGCACGCTCACCTGGCAAGCTGCCACCGTTCTGTTCCACAGGATCATCTTCTCAGGCTGGAGAATAACCTCCTGGTAAACTGTTTCAGCAGAGCACTGCAGGAAAGCCTGAGGACAGAGCCAGAGCAGTTAGCCAGTCCCCTTCTCTACTTCTGTAAGATTATTTTTAAGGAATGCAAAGAACAACTGGGATAATACAGGAGGGGAGCCTGGCCTGGCTCTAGCGCTCACAAAGCCAAGGCTGTCACCCCTCTTCCACCCCTCTGCCGCAGCGCGCTCGTTCCCAGGGGCCCGGAGGGCACACGTGGAGTTGGAGAGGACAGACCAGACCTCAGGTGTCAGCAGTCATTGAACTGCTGCCTGCCAAGGTCCGCGTTGGTGTAAGAGAGGGCAAGCGTCCGTCTGTCTGTAACACGGCGAGACAGACGGACCTCGGGGCTGACTCGGGCTGGCTCCTCTCCCACCCTCACCCCACTTTATCAGCGGTTCTGCTGCGTACGCGACTGCTTCGGGAAGGTGCTGCAAAGCTCCTCTGAGCTCCAGCACAGACACCATTCATTTCTCCACGTCCCCACGGGACAGGGGATCTTTGGAGGCAAACGGTTAATGCAGTAAAGTGGGACCATCCAGCTTTTCCTCGCGAATACAGAGCTGCTCCATCGGCAGGGGCTGGCAGCGGGGGAC